TTATCGAATCGTCTTCGGAAGGTACAATTTAGTAAATATTTATTTATTTATTTAATCATTTATTTATTTATTGGCACAGGAGAATTCGAAGCACTTGTATATAATACATACGAAATCTACAAAATAAGACCACATGTAGAAATAGAAAAAAAAATGGTACTGTTAATTAGTAATACGAATATGTAGATCGTTCGATCAATTATTTCGATTTCGTTTTGTTTTTTCTTAAATTGTGATCAGTTGCTTACAATATTTGATAGTGTACTTTATGTCGGTGTCATATAACACTAATAAAATTTCTGTTAACGCTCTTTTAAAAGATCCAATTATTTTCACAGCCTATTTTTTTACTTTATATTTCCAATTTTACTTTTCAGCAAAAGAATATACTTTTTACAGATCCTGAAATATTAATTTCTTCCAAAATGTAACGTTGTGTTATATGATACGGTGCCTGGCTGTTAATTATTTTATACGCAATCTAAGATAATGAGAGAAACCCTAAGGGTTGGAATGTTGGGCAAGGTACTGTCTTTCAAGTGCTTTGAGTTGCTTTAAAGGTTTTGAACATGTCGATTCCACCCAATGTACATCTGGCGCTACGTAGCCTCCGATTTGGTTCTCTTGTTTGCAGCCTGTATCCCAACTAAAGATACCTGATAGGGTATAACGTCCTTGGTCATTCACACAGGCCAAAGCACTTCCATAATCCACCTGTAAAGCATAATATTTTTAAACTACTACCTTTTATCATTCTGCAAACTAAATCTTAAACTGACTTAAAGGTTAATAGTTTTAGAACGAAACGTAATAATCTTTATAGCGTATGGAAGCATTCCCTAATGATTCATGAACGATTGGAAAACATAATCTGTGCGAAATATTTAATTTGTTTAGGTAATCAAATTGCGATCTCTTTAAAGGACTAATAAATAATTGAATGTAAACAATGGAATTCCAAAGAGAAAACCCGAAGTGTGAAGACCAGGTGCTCGAACCGACAATCCAAGAATAGTAGTGCATGATAAATAAAGTATTCAAAAAAAAGCATCAAGGTACTACGTAAAGGTTTCATTAACAGCATCAGATAACGAGATAGAAACCCAAACTATCGTCTAATAACTTTTCTGACCTCCCACAATGTTTACATTCAGTTAATTATCAATAATTCATCCATGAGAACATTGCTTTGGTTGATTTACGATAATTTGATGCGATCAGAAAATAACGAACTATTTGACTTTAATGTCGTTTCACATGGAGTAGATGACGCGCGTCTCAACGCGCGCGTATAAACGCTCGTCGATCCAAACTCTCGTCAAATAACTTCAAAAGATTGGTCACAGCGATTACATCAACTTTTCTGGCCTCTCTACAAAATTTTTCACAAGAGTGGCTTTGGTTGAGTGAGCAACAGATTAGAGTCTTGCTCATTGCCGATATCACCGTGGCCTTGTCCTTTCACAATCAGGAAATTTTGTCGTTATCTACACAGGGTGAGTCACTAAGCCGAAAAACTGTCATTTATACACGTATACTTCAAACTAGAGAAAAGTTGTATACAGTTAAGTGTATAATATCGTAAAAATATTTTTAAATATGACGGACTTCCGATTATACCGGAAATGCACAGTAACTTCGTTATTTTAAGTGGAACCCCCTGCTTTGCTATTGCATTTTTGAATTCCCCATAAAAAAACAGTCAGTTTATTAAAATATATTGGATCTGGATCGCACCGTTCTGGAGTTATTTCACGTTTCTTGGAAAATAAGACGTTTGTAGTGTTTGGCGCCATTTTAAATATCTCAGAAGCGAAAGGACTTAGATATTTGCGGTTTTCATATTCCTTTTCTGAAGGAAATTGCCTATAATTTGTATGTACGCATGAAAATCCAACGGGAGGGCCGTGCTGATTTCTCGCGTTTGAAAATTTGCGCGCCGTTGAAACGTGTCCATGTTAATAACTCTGGTTAATCACAACTTGGTAACGTTATGAAGTGTTAAACATGACAGATAATATCAGGACCAGTTTATAATAGAGCTCGCGCACATCCAGGAATAATTATTTGTGAATATATTTCTTTTACTTACCGAACATTGATCCTTTTCCGAAATTCCACAAAGAGTATTGGGACTGTAATTTTTAACGAAACTGGGGAAATTCTGGTTTATAACACTTTCACATTTCTGTTGCTCAAGAACCTGGACCGGTATCGAATTCATTATTGCTCCTTTCAGATGAACTGCAAATAAAGTTTAAATTTTAGAAAATCCACCCTCTGTTTCAATTAAACAGTTGTTACCTTGCAAAATGTGTTTTCCCCAGCCAGTAGCAACGCAATTTTGAGTTGGAACTTTATTATGTTCTGGTAAACAAAGCGTGTCAATATTTTTGGCGAGACGTAGTTTCTCCTTTAAGATCAACAGAGCCAAATCGTTAACCAGTGAGCTCGGCGTATATTCAGGATGGCGTACAACTGCAGCAACTGCAACAATTTGGAATGGCAGAGGTTCTTCGTCGATTCCAAGTTTCCATTCTCCGCCTTTGATGAGAATATCTTTCGTTTCAATGCTGCAACATAATTATAATTATATTTTCCAATACAAATTATCAAACTAAATGCAATTACCCGTCGATGCAATGGGCAGATGTTAAAACTACATCAGATCGTATGATTACACCACCGCAAAGCAAAGTCCTCGTTGAATCCCTTAGAACCATTGCTTGCCATGGGTATTCGGCAAAGCCAGCATTAAGTGGACCATTTCCACGTGGTCTCGAATTCTAAGAAAGATAATAAACAGACATTATAAATCAGTATGGTTAAGTAGAGGTTTATAAATTAACAGTTTAACTCACATAATTCCTTGTACCACACGTAGGGCTGTTAAACGTTTCGTTTCGACCGCTTTGCTTAACTGGTCCTCTCGATGGGGATCCTCTAGTAGCCCTTTGTTGTTGTAAAAATGACGGTAGGACATAATTTCCTTTGTTGTCAACTTTATATTGACTTATCGAATCGTCTTCTTTGTACTGTCCATCATCAACACCGTTCAGAAGATTTGCCGAAGGCCAGGCATCTACATAATTCCTATCTCGGCAGCATTTACCATGCACTTTAGCTCTTGCATCGAAGCATTCCTGGAAAAAACCCAGCATTAATTAACTAAAATTACAAAACAAGTTTCTAATTGCTCTTACTTGAAGTGGTACTCTGCCAATTTCTTGTTCTTTTGTGAGAACAACTGCAGTGGCAGATACGAAACCATCAGCTGTACAGTAAATTTCTTGGACGCATTGCAATGCTGCAGCGCACCCAGATGAGGCAGCCACCGGGCTCGGTGGATTTATTGCACCAGCTCCTACATCGAGACCTGAACTATATGAAGGTGGGATTGCGGGTGTTTGGCGACCAGGACTAGGTGTATTTGCTGCTGCATTACTTGGAGGTGTATAGTAGTTTCCTGGTATTGTAGTTACATCTTGAGGTCGGCCTCCTTTAATTGGTTTATTGGGATATTGTTGAAATTCTGGGGGAATTCCTGATGATTCCTGACTTTGATCAGATGGCTGTTTGGGAATTTCTGGAGAATAACCTGGTTGAAGTGGTCGCTGCGGTTGGTAAAGGCCGGTGGGTGCACTTGGGACAGTCGGTTGCCCAAAGCTAGGATAGCCAGGGTATCCCGGACGACCTGGTTGTCCTGGCTGACCAGGTTGGCCTGGTTGTCCTGGCTGACCGGGTTGACCTTGTTGTCCAGGTTGACCCGGTTGTCCTGGCTGTCCAGGTGTGTATCCCGGCTGGGTGGGAGTATATCCTGGTCTACCTGGTTTCCCCGGTTGCCCGGGTTGGCCTGGTTGTCCTGGCTGACCAGGTTGACCTTGTTGTCCAGGCTGACCCGGTTGTCCTGGCTGCCCAGGTGTATATTCAGGCTGGATTGGAGTATATCCTGGTCTACCTGGTTTCCCTGGCTGACCGGGTTGGCCTGGTTGTCCTGGCTGACCGGGTTGACCTTGTTGTCCAGGTTGACCCGGTTGTCCTGGCTGTCCAGGTGTATATCCCGGTTGTGTCGGAGTGTATCCAGGCTGGATGGGAGTATATCCTGGTCTACTTGGTTTCCCCGGTTGGCCTGGTTGTCCTGGCTGACCAGGTTGACCTTGTTGTCCAGGAGCACCCGGCTGTCCTGGCTGCCCAGGCGTGTATTCAGGCTGGACGGGAGTATATCCTGGTCTACCTGGTTTCCCCGGTTGACCGGGTTGGCCTGGTTGTCCTGGCTGACCGGGTTGACCTTGTTGTCCAGGCGCACCCGGTTGTCCTGGCTGTCCTGGTGTGTATCCAGTCTGGTTGGGACTATATCCTGGTCTACCTGGTTTCCCTGGCTGACCGGGTTGGCCTGGTTGTCCTGGCTGACCGGGTTGACCTTGTTCTCCAGGCTGACCTGGTTGTCCTGGCTGTCCAGGTGTGTATCCCGGCTGGGTGGGAGTATATCCTGGTCTACCTGGTTTTCCCGGTTGCCCGGGTTGGCCTGGTTGCCCAGGTGTATATCCAGGCTGGATGGGAGTATATCCTGGTCTACCTGGTTTCCCAGGCTGACCAGGTTGCCCTGGTTGTCCTGGCTGACCGGGTTGACCTTGTTGTCCAGGTTGACCCGGTTGTCCTGGCTGTCCAGGTGTATATCCCGGTTGTGTCGGAGTGTATCCTGACTGATCTGGAAGTCCTGGTCGTTCTGGCTGACCAGATTGTCCTATATAACCTGGTTGTTCTTGTTCGGGTTGCGCAGGAGTATATCCTGGTCTACCTGGTTTCCCCGGCTGTCCGGGTTGACCTGGTTTTCCTGGTTGTCCGGGTTGTCCTGGTTGCCCTGAATAGTCTGGTTGACCTATTGAAGCATAACAAAAGGAAAATATATATTAAATGAATAGTGTAATTGCTTTCCCAGTTATTGTAATTTTAAAGTCAAATGTAGTAAGTTATTAATATGAAAGATAAAAAAGAAATAGTAATATTAGTACCGAAAAAAAATCTGAACGGTTTGAAAGCCTATAAAGATGAATTAGCACTTTTAAAATTTGGGGACAAACACACATATACTGAACACGCTACCCAAATAGGGTTCAGATGGGTTGTACTAAAGTGAAGAAGCAATCCAAAATGTTTCTTAAGACTACCACTACTCCGTCTATAAGCAGTCATAATACAAAAAATTATCACTTTTGAAAGCTTTAAGAGAAGTCATTAATTAAGTATAAGATAACCATTTGGGAAATCATTAACATTGTTTTATTCAGTTTTTTTAATTTTATCCGAACAAATGCTACATACCTGGGTATCCTTGGTAACCCGGTTTTCCCGGTTGACCTGGTTGCCCTGGATAACCCGGTTTTCCTGGTTGTCCTGGTTGACCCGGATAACCTGGCCCTCCAGGTTGACCAGGTGTGTATTGACCGGGTTGTCCTGGTTGCCCTGGTGTATATTCTGGAAGGATGGGTTGTCCTGGTGTGCATTCTGCAGTTCCAGGTTGGCAGGGCTGTCCAGGCTGTCCTGGTTTTCCAGGATATGCAGGCTTTCCTGGTTGGCCAGGTGTATATTTGCTGGGCTGTCCAGGTATATATTCAGGTAGGCTGGGTTGTCCTAGTGTGCATTCTGTTGTTCCAGGTTGGCAGGGCTGTCCTGGTTTTCCTGGTTGGCCAGGTATATATTGACCGGGTTGCCCCGGTTGTCCAGGTTGGCCTGGTTGCCCAGGTTGTCCTGGATATCCCGGCTTTCCTGGTTGACCAGGTGTATATTGACCGGGTTGCCCTGGATGTCCAGGTTGTCCGGGTTGTCCGGGTTGTCCAGGTCGTCCGGGTTGTCCGGGTTGTCCAGGTTGTCCTGGTGAATATTCAGGAAGGCTTGGCTGTCCAGGTTGTCCCGGTTGCCCAGGTTGTCCTTGTTGTCCTGGGTAGCCTGGCTGTCCTGGTTGACCAGGAGCGCCTGGTTGTCCTGGCTGCCCTGGTTGACCTGGCTGTCCTGGTTGTCCCGGAATACCTGGTTGTCCTGGCTGTCCGGGTTGACCCGGTACCCCTGGCTGGCCAGGTAATTCTGGCGCATACTCCTCATGACCTGTTATATCTGGCTGTTCTGGATACTCCGATTGTTCAGGCGTGTATCCAGACTGTCCTGGCTGACTTGGCTGATAAGACTGAGTAGGAAAACCAGGTCTTTCTGGCCGTCCTGATTTCTCGGGTTGTTCTGGCTTATTTGGGAAGGGCGCTTTCGGAGTAGATGAAGGTGGCAAATAACTTCCAGTTACTTTACTGGATTGATATGTTGGATAAGACGGTTTAGAAGTGTAACTCTGATCCGAATAACTTGGTGTGGGGGTCGACTGCTGTACAAAAGATGGTCTTGGAGTCTGTGATTCTCCAGGTAACGGTTGAATAACTTCCGGTTGATAACTTGGTTTTTGGGACCCAGGTTTATACGATGGTTGTGAAGGGTATGATTCAGGTTGTTCTGGTTGTTTACTTGGTTGTTGTGGTTTGTTGCTCTCTGGCCGTTGCGCATAAGGTGGTAAATATTTATCCCCGTAGATATATTCCCTGTCTGGTTGTGCAGGTGTAGGTTGTGGCTGATTAACCGAAGTGGGTTGCTCTTCATATTGTGGTCTAGTAGTGGGAAATTGTTGTTGAACGGGTCTTATTACAGATGGTGTTTGTTGTGGTAAACCTGACGGTCTCTGTTGTTGAGTTGGTTTAGGTTGAGATACATATGATGGACTTGAGGGAGAATAGGGCGATTGGGTTGGTTTAGGTTGAGACACATATGACGGAACCGAGGGAGAATAAGGCGATTGGGTTGGCCGCGATTGAGACACATATGACGGACCTGAGGGAGAATAGGGCGACTGGGTTGGTTTAGGTTGAGACACATATGACGGACTTGAGGGATAATAGGGCGACTGGGTTGGTTTAGGTTGAGACACATATGACGGACTTGAGGGAGAATAGGGCGATTGCGTTGGTCGAGGTTGAGTAAAGTACGTTGAACTACCAGGTGTTTGTGATTGTGATGTGGGTCTTGGCTGGAAACTATATGTTGGAGTGGAAGGAAGTTGAGGTTGTGTTGGCTTCGATTGTGGTCCGTATGACGGCTTTGGAGGACCCTGAGACTGTGGCGCAAATGGTCTTGGAGAGGAAGTTGCAAAAGTCTGCTGTGAAGATCCGCCAAATGGGGATGGCGTTGAAGGAAGCGCTGGCTTGTAGGGCGAAACGGGTTTACTTGGGGCAAATAAGTCAACAGTAGATACTGATGGAGTCGGTGATCCAAAAGGTGGCAAATATGGTGGCCCTTTTACAGTAGAAGAAAATACTGAATTTTGACTACCCGCAGTGCCTTTGCTAAATGGTCGCGGTGTTGTACCAGATTGGCCAGAAAATGAAACATCAGCGTTGGCTTGATTATCGTCATTCACTAGTACTATTGATCCAGGGCTCAATCCAAGGCCACCAACATAGGATATTTGGGATGCTGGTAGAGATTCCTTGTTTTTAGCAAAACTAGATAAGTTGGATGGTCCGGAAGGCGCAAATGAAGTTGGAGTGGAGGCTGTAGTACTTGGTCGACTCGGTAAATTTTCTTTCGATCCACTTGGAGAATATACAAATGGCGTTGAACCAGATGGACTGGATGGCGTGTAAGAAGTTGATACAGAGGGTGTATATTGGCTCGATGGTGTGTACGATGTTGATCCAGAGGACGTAAACTTACTTGATTGTTGATATGTGGTGTCGTATACCGGTTTCGTATCATCAGTTTCAGGACCACTTGGCGTAACAAGATTAGATGCGTCTGGTATTTTACAACAAACATCCACGTTCAGCTTGCAATACTGGACCTGTAACAAACACGATATTGTTCACTCAAACTTTAATCTTGTCTCATGTAAATTGGAGAATATAAACGAAAGTTTATGACAAGTATGTTAATGTTAACATTCAGATTTTCTTTTCACTGTCAACGACATTTTCTATTTCGTTGTCTTTCTTTTTCCACAATGTTATGTCTGTGCTCAAACCAGGTCAAAGTCATCAACATCCACGACCGCTCAGTAACTGTTACGTAATCGTTTTAATAAAATTGCAATTATTTATTTGCAAATACTCGTCTATATCTGCTGTACATACGTATGTGTTCTAACATTATTTACACTATTTGATAGAAGATAGAGATATTTTAAACAGATATCATGATCTACATTGATTGATGACTACAAATCAGGTATTTATGCATGTAGAAAAGGTGGAGATTTTTAATCAACTTTCGATTAATCGGAACTTCGTTTAAGTCTTCAATCATTTTATGTTTCATTTAATATAGCTACTTTAATAAGACAACAGGCTAAATTTCACCAGATGTCTTCTTACGTAAAACCAGGTGTTACAGGCGACGTGGAGTGGTTACTTTTACATCAAGTAAGCTATGTGTCTTTGGATGAATATGTACTCGCGTAAATATATAAATTAAAGTGCATTTTGTGAAACCATTCACGAAAAATAATCGTTAATATTCATGTACGTATAATAAATGCCCAAGCCGAACTGATTATGTGTGACGATTACGACTGGATGGACAGGCAACAGGGCGTTACCT